TAAATATTAACGCCTCAAACGTAGAGACGCAGACTCTGCAAAAAGACTTCTCTTTTACATGGAGGGAGAGGGAATTAATCTACTTGGGAATAAAGTTAACCCTCTCAATAAAGAACTTATATCAAGTTAATTATATATCATTAATAAATGAAATAAAGACGAATTGAGAAGACTATCAACAGGGTGGATCTTGTGGATTGGAAGTATCAATCTGGTTAAGATGGTGATAGTTCCAAAAAGCCTGTATAAGTTACAAAAGCTCCCAATATATTTACCAGATTCTTTCTTTAGGATAATAAGAAAAATGATACTGAGGTTTATTTTGGCTAATAAGAAACCAATAATTAGTTATGAGACTCTATGTAAAAACAGAGACAGGAGGATTACATTTGCCAAATATGGGGAAGTATTATATGTCAGTGTTATTATCATGGGTCGTAGACTGGACATATAACTCAGATGAAAACATTGGGTTAAAAAAGAAGGTATATTAAGTAAATTTCAATTAGAGAGGATTATCTGGATTCCATGAAAGTTTCGAGAATTAGATGAAAATAGTAGCACACTGACAAGAGAGGTGTTGAGAATATATGATGGGTTGAAAAAGTCAATGGGTCGGGAGTACAATTCACTGTTGATACCCCTGGTGGATACATTTTTTTTCCACCAGGGAAGGATAATAATTCTGAGAAATGGTTTAAAAATTTTAAATGCACGGTTAAGGGATATAGTAGATAAGGGGAAGTTATGTAAATTCCAAGAATTAAGGAGTAAAAAAGATTTATTTTATACATTAGATGAATTTAGATATTTTTAATTCGGACACTTTCTTTCAATGCTCCCCCAACCACTGAGGATGCTGGAGGATATGCTTCCATTTGAAAAAATGTTGAGTCATGGAACAGTTTATATAAACATGTAACTTCTAGAATATATAGGATCCTTATTGAATGGATGGATTATTCTTAGAGAGATGGGAAAATGGGCTGGGAAAGAGAATTGGGTACAAAAATAAATGTGCAACAGAAGAATAACATGTTTAAGTTGATGCACGGGGTGGTGAATATGAACACAGTACAAATGAATTATAAATGTTTAACTAGATGGTACTGTACACTGAGTGTAACACATAAACAAAGAGAAGAAATTTTGTCATTCTGTTGGAGGGATTTCGGGGGCATAGGGACTATGACTCATATATGGTGGGAGTGTTCAAAAATTCAGGGGTATTGGCAAGATGTAATTCAATATATACAGGAGATTTTGGGGGATAACTATTCAAAAAGATCCGTGGGTGTGCCTATTTTATAGGACAGAGGTGTCAGTGAAACAATATAAAAAATAGTTTATTATATCATTTAATCAGTGCTGCAAAAGGTTTAATCCCAAATTTTGGCAGGCATGGGACCCCCCATCAATGAGAAACTGGATAGAGAGGATTGCGTTTATAAATAAGATGGAGAAGGTATACCACATAGATGAAGATAGAATGGAAAACTTAGAAAAGACTTGAGTAGGTGGCATGATTTTAAAACATCTGAAAAATATCTTGAAATAATCGGTGTCCCGGTTGTAGAGTTGGAGAACTAAAGTGAATAAATGGAAAGCCATAATGTGAAGAGAGAATATAGGGCTCTGACTGTGATTGGTAGACAGGTTAAGAAAGAAATGGAAAGAACTGTTTGGACAAGGGTACCTTATTGGGTAGGGAGGGATAAGGGGGGATAGAATGAGGGTTAAAGAAGTTTAGTTGGATTGTTTGTGTTTTGATAAATTGTATATTGCTGGTTTATGTATTGAAATAAAATTTAATAAAAAAAAAAACATATATATATATAAAGTCATGGCCGAAATTGTTGGCACCCTTGATATTTTTCCTGAAAATCAAGTATTTCACACAAAAAAGGTATTGCATTAACACATGTTTTGCTATACACATGTTTATTCCCTTTGTATGTATTGGAACAAATATAAAACAGAGGCAGAAAAGCAAATATGACATAATGTCACACAAAACCCCAAAAAATGGGCTGGACAAAAGTATTGGCACCCTTAACTTAATATTTGGTTGCACACCCTTTGGAAAACATAACTGAAATCAGTCGCTTCCTATAACCATCAATAAGCTTCTGACACCTCTCACCCGGAATTTTGGACCACTCTTCCTTTGCAAACAGCTCCAGGTCTCTCTTATTGGAAGGACACCTTTTCCCAACAGCAATTTTAAGATCTCTCCACAGGTGTTCAATGGGATTTAGATCTGGGCTCATTGCTGGCCACTTCAGAACTCTCCAGCGCTTCTTTGCCATCCATTTCTGAGTGCTTTTTGACGTATGTTTGGGGTCATTGTCCTGCTGGAAGACCCAGGATCTTGGACGCAAACCCAGCTTTCTGACACTGGGCCCTACAGTGCGACCCAAAATCCTTTGGTAATCCTCAGATTTCATGATGCCTTGCACACAGTCAAGGCACCCAGTGCCAGAGGCAGCAAAACAACCCCAAAACATCATTGAACCTCCACCATATTTTACCGTAGGTACTGTGTTTTGTTCTTTGTAGGCCTCATTCCGTTTTCGGTAAACAGTAGAATGATGTGCTTTACCGAAAAGCTCTATCTTGGTCTCATCTGTCCACAAGACGTTTTCCCAGAAGGCTTTTGGCTTACTCAAGTACATTTTGGCAAACTGTAGTCTTGCTTTTTTATGTCTCTGTGTCAGCAGTGGGGTCCTCCTGGGTCTCCTGCCATAGCGTTTCATTTCATTTAAATGTCGACGGATAGTTCGCGCTGACACTGATGCTCCCTGAGCCTGCAGGACAGCTTGAATGTCTTTGGAACATGTTTGGGGCTGCTTATCCACCATCCGGACTATTCTGCGTTGCAATCTTTCATCAATTTTCCTCATCCGTCCACGACCAGGGAGATTAGCTACAGTGCCATGGGTTGCAAACTTCTTGATAATGTTGCGCACTGTGGACAAAGGCAAATCTAGTTCTCTGGAGATGGACTTGTAACCTTGAGATTGTTGATATTTTGCCACAATTTTGGTTCTCAGGTCCTCAGACAGTTCTCGTCTCCTCTTTCTGTTGTCCATGCTTAGTGTGGCACAGACAGACACACAATGCAAAGGTTAAGTGAACGTCTCTCCTTTTTATCTGCTTTCAGGTGTGATTTCTATATTGCCCACACCTGTTACTTGCCCCAGGTGAGTTTACAGGAGCATCACATGCTTGTAACATTCTTATTTATCCGCAGTTGTGAAAGGGTGCCAATACTTTTGTCCAGCCCATTTTTGGAGGTTTGTGTGACATTATGTCGAATTTGCTTTCTTTCCTCCCTTTTTTTGTTTTGTCCCAATACACACAAAGGGAATAAACATGTGTATAGCAAAACATGTGTTAATGCAATACGTTTCGTGAGAAATACATGATTTCCTGGAGAAATATCAAGGGTGCCAACAATTTCGGCCATGACTGTATAACTTTTTTGTTTTTTGTATGGTTGAACTGGATGGACTTTTGTCTTTTTTCAGACAGACTATGTAAATATGTAACAAGTACCAAAGTAAGATATTTGCCTCTTGCATGGCCTTTTGATGTGTAAAATTCAGCTTCTCTGGTCAATCATGTATGGTCAAACACAAAATAGAGTATATATACAGAGCATCCTACAGTAAGTCAGTCAACTGTGTCTGGGAAGAGGCAGATTCATTTACTGTCATAAAACCACCCATTGTGCAAAATCACATTTTAGAAGTACACTGGTCACAGGGCAACCCAGAAGTTGATTGCATACTGGGCAACCAAGGGCTAATAGTCCATTCTTTAAACCCAGGAGTCAAGGGAATTATCTATTCCAAGGCTGACCTCATTTTCCCTTGACTGCAGATATTAGACACATGGGTTAGGCACTGCATGTGACTGATACCATCAGCCAAGCATGGTCGATGCATCATGGCAGAGGACTTGAAAGTCTCACTTAGGCAGGCACATTCTCTGCTGCTCCTCCTTTAACTGAGTATCTGAGGCACAGTTTCAGTGGTGTGTCCCATCCTGCATCCTTCCCTGCTGTCAGCAAATTTACACTGTTCTCTGAAAAAGAGATGTAATGTGCCTGCCCATATTTTCATGTTTTCTTGACATCTGTGGCCCTGGCTCTGAGTGTATGACCCACTAACATGAAGAAATTAATCTTCACATGCTGGTAATGGGTAGCCATGACATTCTAGGTGAAAAATGATAAATGGGTACCTGCCACTGTTGTACAACACAGGCTGTAAATTCATGGGCGGAGACAGACTCTACTAGCTGGAAAAAGAGCAGCTGAAAATTCGGCAATTAATGGTTTTCCACCTCACCATTCCTGTACTTCTTCCTGCATGTTGTGTCTTCAATCTATGTTACTGGAGCTCTGAGTTGCTGATGGTATTGTCTGCTCAGATAATTCAGCCAACCTCTCAATGCCAGTTTGTGGGGCAATTGACAAATTAACTGTAGAAGGGGCAGAAGATGAGGGCACATTTGCAGCCTCTGGTGACGCTGCACTATTCTGCTCCTGGAAGAATGAGTAGAATGGTGAAGGCTTGGTTATCCACTCCACCAACCCCTCTACATGTGTCGGCAGTATAGAATGATCGCTGCCAGAAAATAAAAGCACACAAGCCCTCAAATGTGAAGCCCAACCACTGCTTTGGCCTGTGGTTGCAGAACCTGCTCACCCTTTACAAGTTTTGTTTGTGTCAGCAACAAGTTCAGGCTGCTGACCATGAATAAAAATGACACCTTATCAAATTATATAGAAGCAAAATATATATATATATATATATATGTATATATATATATATATATATATATATATATTTTTTTATATATTATATTGCCAAAAGTATTGGGACACCCCAGGTGTTCCAATCACCTACATGGCCACTGGTGTATAAAATTAATCAGCTAATCATGCAGACTGCTTCTACAAACATTTTCAAAAGAATGGGTCGCTCTCAGGAGATGAGTGAATTCATGCTTGATACCGTGATAGGTTGCCACCTGAGCAATAAGTCCATCTGTCAACAAGTGGTAATTAGGGACGGACTGACAACTCATGGGGCCCCTGTGTCATTGCCCAAACTCAAAAAAGCCTATGAAAAAGGTACCAGGGGCATCCCTACTGACCCCGGGCCCTCGGGCAGTGCCCGAGTTTCCAAATGGTCAGTCCACCCCTGGTGGTATTGTAACAAAGTGGAAGCAACTGGGAACAACAGGAGACAGAGAGGGGTCAGCGCATGCTGAAGCACACTGTGCGCAGAAGTCACCAACTGTCTGCAGAGTTAATAGCTAAAGATCTTAAAACTTCATGTGGCCTTCAGATCAGCACAACAGCAGTGTGTAGAGAGCTTAATGGAATGGGTATCCATGGCCGAGCAACTGCATCCAGGCCTTACACCACCAAGTGAAATGCAAAATGTCGGTGCAGTGGTATAAAGCACTGGTCTCTAGAGCAGTAGAGATGTGTTCTCTGGAGTGACGAATAACTCTTCTCTGTCTGGCAATGTGATGGAAATGTCTGGGTTTAGTGGTTGCTAGGAGAATGGTTCTTGTCTGACTGCATTGTGCCAATTGTAAAGTTTGGTAGAGGGGGATTATGGTGTGGGGTTGTTTTTTTCAGGGGTTGAGATTAGTCCCTTAGTTCTAGTGAAGGGAACTTTAAGGTGTCAGCATACCAAGACATTTTGGACAATTTCATGCCCCAATTTTGTGGGAACAGTTTGGGAATGACCCTTTCCTGTTCCAACATGACTGTACACCAGTGTTCAAAGCAAGGTCCATAAAGACATGGATGAGTGAGTTTGGGGTGGAGGAACTTGACTGGCCTACACAGAGTCCTGACCTCAACCCAATAGAACACCATTGGGATGAATAAGAGTGGAGACTGCGAGCCAGGACTTCTTGTCCGACATCAGTGCCTGACCTCACAAATGCGCTTCTGGAAGAATGGTCAAACATTCCCATAAACACACTCCTAAACCTTGTGGACAGCCTTCTCAAAAGAGTTGAATCTGCTATAGCTGTGAAGATTGGGCCAACCCAATATTGAACCCTACAGACAAATTCTGGGATGCCAATAAAGTTCTTGTGCGTGTAAAGGCAGGCATCTCAATACTATGGCAATAAACTGTATGTACTTTATGTGTGTATATATGTGTATGTATATATATATATATATATATATATATATATATATATATATTTTTATTTATTTATTTTTTTTACACTAAAACACTAACCCCAAACTCCAACATCAAAACACCATAACTCTTTTTCCTTTTTTTTTAACAAAAATATGAAAGAAAGCAAAATAATAACAGTTTAAAAAAGTACTCCGAGGAAAAAAAAGAAAAGGGGAGCAGAGCAAGAGAATGTGTTGTGCTGATGCAAACAAAAAAATGTATCCCCTACTGCTGTCTGTTGGGTCTATTCATTGTGAATACAATAGGTTGCACTCACAACAATACAAGTAACAGTAATAAAGCACTGGACAGCTCAGTGAATAAAAGGGGTAACCTTCATTTTCAGTAGCCAGCCACACTGTATTTCACTGTAATGTAGCAGTGGCATTATATAACACTGTATAAAGTACTGTATAGCTGTGTAGGTAGGAGGGCTGGGACAAGGGAGGGCAGCCCCTCCTAGAGCAGTGATTTTATGTGAGGGGATGCTGCATGTTAAGCTACCCCCTCTTGGCTCCATCCTTGACAAGTTAGTCACCATCAGCATATCATGTTACTAGCAGCTCTCTAATTTTCCGTATTAATTTTTTTAGCCACAAATAGCATTACATCTGATCACACTGCATGGGCTCCCTCTCCCAGTTCCCTGCTCCAATCAGGAAAGCAAGTTGTTCAGTTCCAGACCCTGCCCACCCAAGGTGTTGGGTATGTTGTGTGTCTGGTTCTCCCCTCTTCCTTCTCTTTCTAGTCAGATACCCAAGACTTAGCAAGGACTGCAGTGTAAAAGTAACATACAGTGATCAGTTATTTGACAGATTATTGCTTTTATGTAAATTATTGAAGAAATCTTTAAAAATTTTAGGTGAAGCATCAGAAACCAATGTATGAAAAGTGTGCTAACAGCAACATTACTTGATGCCCGTAGCAACCAGTATGCTTTTTACAGTCATGTCTACATTCGAAAATAAAATGTAGATTCTGTCATTTTTCTGCGTTGGTATATTTTAAAGTAAAATTAGATAATGGCCATAGAGATTCAAAACTGTCCTACTGTTAGAATAAACAAATACAAATTTCCAAACAGCTATTAAATATACATATATTGTGAAATAGTTATCATAGTCATAAATATTAAACAGTTCCTGACACTGCGTGGATATCTGTGCTTACTCAGGACTGCCAGTATTTTCAATAGTTGTTCAAGATATAGCTATGAATTGGTATTATTTGTAGTAATGGATAGAAATGATCTCTTAAGCGACCAATGTAGGCTCCAATATATGCAAGTGGTTGATCTGAGTGTTTAAATAAAAGGAGCAAGTATCACACCACTTTCGCATTTCAGTAGGAAATATGGATAGCTAAATATGATGAAAAGAAAATGTCCTCAAAATTGCTGCTGCTAAAATAAAAAAAAAATACAATCTAACCATTACTCATCAGGGAAGGGGGCAAAGTTCGGCATCTTTGCCCTGGAAATTGGATGCCCTTCTGCTGGAACTAGTAGCTAGCACACTAGCACTGTACAATAGTACTAACAAGTATGTCTCCGTGAAATCGATGTCAGTTGTGTCTAACTACTCCAACTCACACTGACAAAAGGCTAATGGGAGAGCTGACTTTTATAAGGAGTGGGTTGGCACATTTGTGAACCCCCATTACTGGCCATACTTTTCCACCTGACCACCGTTCACATATCAGACAAAGCATTACGGAGAATTCTACTTGGTGCTTGACTGAACGCAACCAATTTAGGTAAACTGAGAGCGGCCAGAGGTTGCAGAGAACACTGCATCCCTGCAAACTCAAACCTTGTCCTTAGAGATGAGTCATGATGAATAATTAAACAAAAATTTAAATGAATGTATAAAACAATGTACTGATATAACATCGTATTTTGATCATGACAATGAATTAAACTAAATACTAAAATTATAACATCCACTAACAGCCAATAAATGCAAATTTCACATATAGAGGTTGATTTACTAAAACTGGAGAGTGCAACATCTGGTGGAGCTGTGCATGATAGCCAATCAGCTTCTAACTTCAGCTTGATCATTTGAGCTTTGACAATAAATCTTGCTAAATAAAGCTGATTTGTTTTTGTACAGAGCTGCACCAGATTTTGCACTCTCTAATTTTAGTTAAGCAACCCCATATTCTCCATGTACTGTTTCTAATGTAAGGGAGATTATATTTCATGATATTAGTTATCTTCTCTTCCTTACTATTTGGATTTTTAATGTGGATAATATTCAACCTTATAATATATAGTAAATTGTATGTCACATTTTTGTTTTATCCTCTTTCATGAACCATAGCAGTCATGTTGAAGGATAATTACTATGCTAGCTGTCACTGCGCAGTACCTAAGTAATATCGGACTGACATTCTCCTTTCTTTTTACCAATTGTATATAAACTCCAGCAAAGAACATTTACTGGATGCTGTGTAATATTAGAAAAATATATCCTTTCTCTTGCCATGCTACCGCTAAATTATTAATCCATCCATTTCATGTGAATTAGTAAAAATGTTTGCAAGATGATCCAATGCCTTAATTTCAACAATTAATTCTAAATGTCTCTTTTTAATCATTCCTATTAAAATATAATAGTCCCGATATATATTTTAACTCACTTGTGCCACCAATAGTTTCTCCTGCCTTTAAACCTATTAAAGATACAGCAATTTGATAACTGAATGTAGTAATGAATGGCTGCATTTGTCTAATATCTAAAGATTTGTCAAGAACCATTTTACCTAAAAATTCCAAACAAGGGAAATAAAAGTAGATTATCTGCATTTCACTGCACATATGTCATATATTACTCAAATAGGGTTGAGAAGCTTTTCAAGGACTACTGGTAAACAATTTAAAAGGATTTTAGATGGAAGTCTTGATAATCCTACATGTAGTAACACAGAAGGGTCTCCACATAGTTCCAAATGATATATGGATAGATAGATAGATAGATAGATAGATACAGTTGTGACCAAAATTATTCAACCCCCACTGAAATTGAGTGTTTTGGCCAGTTTGACATTGCTTTTGATCATTCAGTCATCTTGCTTACATTTACATTAAAGAGGGCACTTGTAGGTCAGACAAATATAACATAACAGTTATAATGAAATAACCACAAATGTCTTTTCTGTGCTCACAGCATTATCAGTTTTATTCAACCCCCAAGTGACATTCAATCTTAGTACTTAGTACAGCATCCTTTTACAGTTATAACAGCTTTTAAACGTGAAGCATAGCTTGACACAAGTGTCTTGCAGCGATCTACGGGTATCTTCGCCCATTCTTCATGGGCAAAGGCCTCCAGTTCAGTCACATTCTTAGGCTTGCGCACTGCAACTGCTTTCTTTAAGTCCCACCAGAGGTTCTCAATCGGATTTAAGTCTGGTGGTGACTGCGATGGCCACTCCAAAATGTTCCAGCCTTTCCTCTGCAACCATGCTCTAGTGGACTTGGAGGTATGCTTGGGATCATTGTCCTGTTGAAAGGTCCAACGTCTCCCAAGCCTCAGGTGTGTGATGACGGACTGCATCACGTTTCCATCCAATATCTCCTGGTACTGAAGAGAATTCATGGTACCTTGCACACGCTGAAGCTTCCCTGTACCTGCAGAAGCAAAACAGCCCCAAAGCATGATTGACCCTCCACCATGCTTCACAGTAGGCAAGGTGTTCTTTTCATCATAGGCCTTGTTCTTCCTCCTCCAAACATAGCGTTGATCCATGGGCCCAAACAGTTCTAATTTTGTTTCATCAGTCCACAGAGAACACTATCCCACAACTTTTGTGGTTTGTCCACATGGCTTTTGGCATACTGCAGTC